CTCCTCTCATTAAATTTCAACTACTTATTTTTTTACCTAAACACTTCTCAAACTTCGTGGGTACATACAGAAATGAAAACGTTAAGGAAGGTAACTCAACACCCGTAGTTGTATTCTAGAAACAAGTTGAGGCTCTAACAACCCACACATATTAAAAGAAAAAATTATAGTAACATCGGGTTGTATGTACAACCATGACATTTTGTAGTTTATTTGACAACATGCTAATTCCATTTAATCTTATCATATTTGTATATTTTATTCTGTTTGTTTTTCTTGTAAAGAACTTGTTTTGTTGTGGAGAAAGCTCCTTTGCTTTTAAAGAATGCTCATTGTCATATGTTGTTAAGAATGTTAAATTACTAATTGGTTTAACTGAAGTGTAAATACCATTTGATTTACATAACTCAGAATTTTCCTTTTTTGCCTTAAAGATGTGCTAAATACTGAATAAATCTTCAGTATAGTTGATACTTTTTTATTTCTTCTTTTCATTAGGCACTGAGCCGGCCCAAAAAACTCACAGCTGAAGGTCATATTCTTGAGTCAGCTATCGAAGCGGCCACAAATGCTGTTTTAAACCTTCGAGATTATTTGAATGAATTGGATAGTAAAGTTGGTGATGGGGATTGTGGATCAACTGTATGTAGCTTAATGTTCTTTTTATTTCACCAAAGTTCTTCACCTATTATTGCCTCGAGTGTAAACTGATCATCTCAGAACACTACAGATGTATCGAGGTGCGATGGCCATACTTGAAGACTTGAAAAAGTTGTAAGTTTTCTTCCCTTGCTCTCTTCTTTCCACCGTCACACAAACACCAAAAAGGCTAGTTCATACTTAACCAGTTATTTCCTTTCCTCTTTTACTTCACGGAAATGCAAGAAATATTTTTGCCGTCACTGTCACTTCAATTATAGTATGTAAAAACTGTTCTTCACTTTCCTGAAAACATTGCACCTTCTCAAGCTTGCATTTATATTGATCTTGTTTTGTACTCCCTCCATTCCCACTAAGTTTTGGACAAGGCAAAGAGGCACAAAAATTTAAAAGTAATATTGTGTTGTTGATATTGACTATGTAAAGAAATGATGAAGTATTGATTATTTCAAACCACATAAATCTGGCATATATGCCATGAGACATTTTTTCAGATGGACCAAAATATTAAAATTTATAATGGGACAAAGATAGTGGGGCCGTGGGGCGGAGGGAGTAGCTTATTTCTTTACTCAAACTAATTTTAATGCCTGCTTCACCCGAAGTAGTCTTAATCTTTATATAATGCCTACATCACATTGGTATGTGGGCAGGGTGATAGATTTTGGTATTCTTGTAATATCATTATATCAGCATTCTGAACCGTAGAGTGCAGTTGTATGTCTAAATCACCCGATTTGGAATTGATTTGGAAAATATCTTGGTAGACTGTATATTTATCTTTGCAAGAATTTACTTGATATCATTATGATTATGTGTTTTCAGTTATCCTCTCAACGACCCAGCAGAAACTGTAAATGAAATCGGAACTACTATTGAAAGAGTCATGGGAGGAACAAGTGGTATCATGTATAGTGCATTCTTTACTTGACTACATGAATGGACACATTTTCCCTTATAGAGTGGGTTTTCAACTAGAATACCTCATAAAAGTGTTTTTTGTTTACAGTTACAGTATTTTATGCAAGGCAGCATACGTGAGCTTGAAGGCAGAGAATCAGGCAGGATGCTCTGCAGTGCACTGTAAGAATAAAATTGTTTAAAAATTTCTCAGCTTGCTCAGGTTTTCTATTTACTCTTATTACCAAGCGGTTCTGTGTGGATAGGGGTTGATGCACTTCAAGCTGGCATTGCTGCTGTAACTAGATATGGGGGAGCTCGAGCAGGTTACCGAACACTGTTAGATGCTCTTGTTCCAGCTGCCTCTACTCTGAAGGAGGTTATCATTGTGATTCAACTTTATATGTACACATATACATATACGATAGGCTAAATGGGCTTATGGGGAATTACACTTGATACGTCCCTTCAGTTCAGAGCACCAACCTAGCATTTACTATGGTGCACGTGATTGTTTGGGCTTGTGGGGAATTACAAGATTAGGCCTGCTAGCTGTGGTATGTTACTGGGTTGAGTATCAGGATGACTGGTTACAACCTGGTCTGAGATTTCGGGCCATGTTATTCCTAATATCACTACAACTTTTGGAAACATCCGCTTTAGTCTTTAGCCTTTATAGACTCTCCCCAAATACCACTTGTGGGATTTACTGGGTTGTTTTTGTTGTGTTTAATGTCACCACAATATTAATGCATGCACGCCGTATTATCATTATCTACATAGGCTAATGCTTAGAATAATACGATCCATTAGGCCAATATATGTTTGTGTCTTGTGAGCAGAGGTTGAATGCTGGGGATAGCTCTACTGAAGCTTTCATTGCTTCTGCTGATGCAGCTGTAAGTGGAGCGGAGTCAACCAAGAACATGCAGGCTCAGGTGACTTTGTAGCCACGTCTCTTCTCCATTTTGGCTCAGTTTGTTAATAGGAAAAAATATTCTGGTTTCCCCATGCTTGGCGTAGGCTCGGAAAACATTTTCCTGTTCCAAACACGGGAAAAACCAAATAACTTCTGGGAAAATGATCCTGTAAACAAATGGAGCTTTAGTGTCCATTTGGCAATAATTTCAACGTTTATCTTTAGCATTTTCAATATTTTTCCCTACCATTAAAAAGTTGTCCAAAACAAAACAGTGACCCCCCTCCCTTTGAAATATAACACAATATTCAAAGAAAATGAGTATATATCTACTTGTAACCTTTTGCAAATGCCGTTGAGTTGGCAGGCTGGTCGATCAACATACATCCCTGCTGAGATTCTTGCATCAGTTCCCGACCCAGGTGCCATGGCTGCAGCCGCATGGTACAGAGCAGCAATTCTTGCTATAGTGGACCCACGTGAGTCGGCATGAGTTTAGTATAAATTTTCTACCTTGGAACTAATTTGGGTATTATTGCTGTTGAAACCTATATACACCAACTGATTGGCTTTCCGCGTGCGCCGTCCTGCTGGTGCATAAAGCTGAGAAAGAGGTTCATTTGTACATGAAACATAGAACAAAATTTTAAGGTCCATTTCGGACTAATATCAGTAATACAAGTTTACATGTTTAAAAAATCTACACTAGAAGAGCAGTAGTATAAAATTGCATCAAAAGAGAACTAACAAGAGTCGAGTTAAAATTGACAAATGATGGGAATGAGGTTTTTGTGATGCAATTTGTGATAATGTGATGTGTGGAACCTTAAAATACACATTTCGAGTTGGGGTTTTCCTCAGAGATTTTGGCCCAAAAACAACTGGCATTTGAAATGGAGAGGTTCTCACGGATAGTCACCAAAAACAATTGTGATTAGTTAAATCTAATTCTAATTCTAATGAATGAGAAACATTTATTAGGTGTCTATTCATGAAAAGAGATCTTGAAAAGTGTAAAGTTTTAATAAAAATTTTAAAATTGATACTATTAGATACCCTTCTCCCGAAATAAGTTTCTCACTCTTCTTATATGCATAGACTAATTTTTGAGTAAAAAATTGATTTTAAAATCAACAAAAATTTAGATGGTGCAATTGGAGGGATGTGAAGGAGCGTAAGGGCCGGGTATGTGGGTTTGCCTCGGGTAGAAACAATTAATTTTAAAATCAGAGCATTTTAGGTATTCTAATTAAATTAGTGTAATAATTTTATGTTAATAAAATGAATTAAGATATTTTTACGTTAAATTCATGTGTATTGATCGTAAAAATGATTATATTAAGGTGAGATTTTTCTATTTAGTCATCTATTATCAAATATTGCTCTGGTAGTCCTTTTTTATGGGTATCTTTCTACACAAAGTCTCTTTTTAGTCTTCTATCATGTTGGTGTTAATTTCAATGCTAAAAATATAATTTCACAATGATAATATATCTTTCTTGTCGTACACAATTCCAAAGATCACTTCTGATGGGTTGTTTGTAAATTATCGTTTTCTATTACAGCTATGGTCTACAAATGTAGTCTTCTGTTGAATTTATAGCTCATAATCACAGTCATTGTTTTTGTATTATTTGTCTAACCAATATCAGAATACGTTACTAGACAAAAAATAAAAAAGATCAAAAAAGACCATTTATGCTAAGATACTGATAAAAGAAGTATTACGAAGATAATATTTAATAATGGAGGACTAAATTGATTGTTATGGTTATGTTGGGCGGTGAACACCGGGGGGGGGGGGGGGGGGNTATTTTCTCAATTTAAATTGTATGGTTTAATTTACGATGTTTGATTGAAATTATTTTCAAATCATTTTATATGAAAAAAGCTGTAAAATTAAAAATAAAAATTATATCAAAAGATCTATAAAACTAGTGGTGACATTATTATATTATTTTATCAAATGACTAACGAAAATAGAAGAAGATAGTAAATGAAGTTTGACCTTATAAGTAGTAAACATATAATTTAATTTGAGACGAAGAAAGTAAATTTTACTACTATCGTCTAGGAAAAAAATATAGTCATATCAATATTAGTGTTTCAGATATTGTGATGCAGCTCTTAAATATATATTCCCTCCGTCTAAAAAATTCTTTTTCAGTTTGACTTGGCACGGAGATTAAAAAAAGTTAAAAAGTGTAAAGACTTTTCATACATTGTCCTTGATGCAATTGAATAAAATAAATAATATAGATAAAAAAGTAGGGGTATGATGGTATTTTCATTAAAAGTTTTTTACCAAAAGAGAAAACGAAAAGTAAATTTTTAGACGACTCAAAAAGAAAAGTTAAAAGGAAATTATTGGGTAGATAATTTTTATTTTTTAATTCTATATTACTCTATATTTTTAATGTAAATTGATATAAAAATAATCAAACTTTCACAATTTAAATTAAGGCGGGGAGAGTAATAGTGAAAATTATAAAGAGGATTTAAACATGAGTGATAATTTTTGCGAGTGAGGGAGTGTTAATTTTTACTCCGTATTGAATTACTTCATCACCATCTTGTATAATGGAAAAAAACTGGTTTTTACATACAGTAGAACTCTCACTCTTTTGTGTTTTTTGGAAGAAAGGGAGTCTACTGTGAGAGTGTGAGGTAGACAGTTTCTGGAAGAAAGAGAGATGATTACTTCATTGTAATAATCAATTAATTAACTCCACTCCGTCGTCATCAATTGACCTCCCTCAATTCCATTCCCCAGATCCACCTCGAGTTCACTGCAGAGATGGCGTCCACGGGCTTGACTCTACCAATTCAAATGCGACTCCACAACAACAACAACAAGTGTACTGCGGATTTCCCGGCGACAGTCCGGCCGGGCCTTTGCCGTCGTGGTGGAAGAGTAAGCTTGAGAGCGTCGTCGGCGTCGGAGAATCAGACGGCGGAGCCCGACCTGAGTGTGACTGTAAACGGCCTGAAAATGCCTAACCCCTTCGTGATCGGTTCAGGCCCTCCCGGCACGAACTACACTGTTATGAAGAGGGCCTTCGATGAAGGATGGGGCGCTGTCATCGCCAAAACGGTCTGTCTGATTGAATGGGCATATTTATTCACTTGATTGCATACATTTCTTTGTGTTTTTTTCCATGCTGAAATTGCATACATAATTCAATTTGATTGTTTAGGTTTCCCTGGATGCTGCCAAAGTTGTTAATGTAACTCCTAGATATGCCAAACTTAGAGCGGCGGGATCAAATGGTTCTACCAGAGGTCAAATCATTGGGTGGCAAAATATTGAACTGATAAGCGATAGGCCTTTGGAAACAATGTTGAAAGAGTTCAAACAGTTGAAAGACGAGTACCCAGACCGGATACTTATTGCCTCTGTCATGGAAGAGTACAACAAAGCTGCCTGGGAGGAACTCATTTCTCGGGTTGAGGAGACTGGAATTGTAAGCAACCAAACTCCCCCCCCCCCCTCCAAGTGAAATCATTATTTTTGGGTGACAAATCTTCTTGATCATAATAAAACTGCCCCCCTCGTTGTTTTTTTTTTGCGCAGGATGCCATTGAAGTCAATTTTTCATGTCCTCACGGTATGCCAGAGCGCAAAATGGGTGCCGCTGTTGGGCAAGATTGTGAGCTGTTGGAGGAGGTCTGTGGATGGGTTAATGCTGTGGCTACTGTGCCTGTTTGGGCAAAGATGACACCCAATATCACTGACATTACAAGAGTACTGACTTCTTCATATTGACATCTTTATAATGTTTAGATATAGTCCACAGATACCCTTTATTTTAGTAGTTGTAGTCGTTAATAGTGTTCTTTTTGTTCTTTGGGGGTGTGCCACAGCCAGCTAGGGTATCTCTTAAAGCAGGATGTGAGGGGGTGGCTGCCATAAATACAATCATGAGCGTCATGGGCATCAATCTGGACACCTTACGCCCCGAGCCTTGTGTTGAAGGGTTAGTATTCAAGAGGGAGGAGGAGTGCATCTTTTCTGTTACTATGACCCCTGTTTATTATTATTATTATTTGCCCACTACTGGTTTACCCATTCCTTTCCCTATCATTCGTCTATTTAAAATCTAGATATTCAACTCCCGGAGGCTATTCTGCAAAGGCAGTGCATCCAATTGCTCTTGCAAAAGTAATGAGCATTGCGAAGATGATGAGATCGGAATTCGGGGATGATGAAGAGTATTCGCTATCTGGTATTGGAGGTGTTGAGACTGGTGGTGATGCGGCCGAGTTCATTCTTCTTGGAGCAGATACTGTCCAGGTGTGTGACTTTGTTATTTAGCCCTCATCCAATTCTTAGATTGTTCTTGGTAATGTGACCTTGCTGAAAATTTGTTCTTGTTTGGTTTATATTTGCAAAAGTTTTGTGTTTCCTTCCAGATAGATAGTAGTTGTGTGATGGAATGCCATACATGAATCTTAACTGCAGTTCCTCTCATTAAAACAAATAGGTTTGCACAGGTGTTATGATGCATGGCTATGGACTAGTTAAGAAGCTGAGCTCTGAGCTCCGAGATTTCATGAAGAAGCACAGTTTTTCATCTATCAAAGAGTTTAAAGGGTACTTCTCTCTGTCACTCTATATTTTCCTCACTCACACACTTCTTAACTCTGCAAAAAAAAAAAAAGACGGAGAGAAAATAAGTGAGGGATTGTTTATTTTAAAGATTGGATTTTTCATCCTGAATATATAAAAGGCTCCTAGGAGGAATTGGGGTCTAGTGCCATCGTCAATTTTTATTCTATACAAGTGGCCTCTCCAAATATCTTTTGGATGGATAAATTTTGTTACTCTTCTTTTGTGATCCAAACTGCAGCAATTAAAAGCAAATGCCTAAAATCCATTTCTTTAAAAAACTTATTCAACCCAAACAGAGATTTGAAGATTCGGAATTCATTGTTGTACACCTTAACACGTCCTGTGCTGATATTTCTTCTCCATTTTGTTTATTGCCTGCAATTTCAGTGCATCACTTCCATACTTCACAACTCATATGGATTTGGTCAAAAGACAGCAAGAAGCAATCCGCGAGAGGAAAGCGATTAAGAAAGGATTGCTATCCGACAAAGACTGGACGGGAGATGGTTTTGTGCAAGAAACTGAGAGCATGGTTTCCAACTGACTGGTGTGCGTTCCTTCTCCCTAAAGGAAAAATAAAACAAAGAAGCTGGTTGGCATTATGACTATCTAGTTTTCATGTAATTTGTGATGGAAATAGATTAGTTTGAGATCTCTTGGAATGCCAGAAGAACGGCCAGCTTTGTTTTTCCAAAGAATCAAAAGATATATATGATGTTGATTTAGTTATCAATGTTGTTGTTATATAGAGATTGAACAATGACAATACCTTTTGATAAACGCTCAGTTGTTGCAACTCACAAGTAAAGCTAGCAGCATGGAATTTGTGAACAGCTTTAATTCAGTCTTTCAAATAAATTTGTCATTCATCCATTTCAATAGTGTTTACATTCCATGTCTAAGATATTTTAGACAAATTTATCACAAGTTCTTCATTGAATATGAAAATTCATAATTAATTTCAGATACGTGAAAAATAAGAAACTAGATAACTAAGTGCTTGTTCTTTTCACCTTATCTAAATGATTATTACTCCATATCTGATCTGAACTAATTTGAATCTACACTTGTGCAAATGGAACTTTGGTTCTTCTCCACACTCCTTTACCCTTTTGGGTTTGTTTAAAGTTTAGCACAACACTTCGTAATTTGTATGCTATCTTATACGGAGTACAAACTTTTTCCATTTATTATTTTAAAAAAGTTAAATATAGCCAAGAAAGGTATGTTTGACATCTCCCTTCCAATAAAATAGGAAGGTACTCGGTAAAAGAATCAAAATATTTATTGGACATTGCTCTATGGAATATGGATACTTAGGATAAAAATATTTATAAGAATATAGATATATACTTAATATTTTTCAAAAAAGAATAGAATTTTAATTTCGAATATCTCCAAATAAAGGTCAAATTTTTATTGTACACGGAGGAAGTAAATCAAGCAATAATACTTCTTCCGTTCTAAACTAGATTAGAATTTCCCATTTAGGAAGGGGAAAACTCCACATTTATTAAAAATCAATTTATTCAAAAATTGGTATATGAATAATTAGTAAAATTTACATATTCAAAAAATACATTAAAAGATGTACTCGTACAAAATTAGAGACGATAAAATATTTTATTTCATCAAATAATCAATGAAAATATAAAAAAAGGCAAAAGTTATCGAGAGGTAAAGGTTCCAAAAAAAATACTAATAATCTATTTCGAGACGTAGTGAGTTATATAATATTCTTTAATCCAAATGTTTTTATTTAATTTAATTTTTTAAACTTAAACTGGACATACTTTTATTATCAATTAATTAAATATCACATTATATGAAAAATTATTGATACAATAGAATAATTTTTTTAAAATCATTTTATAAAATAATCTAATTAAATAATGTAACTTTACTTAATTTAACAATTATGGAGTATGATTTATCCACATGCACTATAAAAAATCAAATTAGATAGCACACTAGAAATAAGGAGCACGACTATGTTATCTTCGTTAGAATTTATTGAATCTGATCTGAATTTTTTAGGACTGGTCTAATTTAAAAAGATTTGATTTGAATATACTCCGTTCTTCCTAAAATTGATGATTCGATATAATTTTTTTCCTCTTATATCTTGTTAACTTTATTTTATTTATGTGTTTTCATTAATTATTTAATAAAAAAAAGTGTCAAAGCCCTAAATTCTTCAAAGAAAACAAGCCCTCTTTCTCTCTCTCCCTTTCACACTATCGCCAGCCACAGATCTGAGTTAGCTGACTTCGCACCACTCTCGCCCTCCCGTCATTTCCCCCTCACTCTAACTTGTCAAACCCTAACCCTAATCGTCACCCCCGGTTTCACCTCTGCCGGGAAGCCTGTGCGTATATCCCCCGCCGGTCAACGCTGCGTAATTTCTCTCAAGGTTTGGCTCTCCTAGTTTTTGTTTCCTTTCAATTTGGTACTTCAAGTAGCATATACTACTTACTCATCATTCCGTCCTCGTCAAATGCCTAATTCGGAGTATGAACGTAAAATATATAGTGCATTTTATGATGATCTCAATTCCTTATTCTCTTTTTCATTGATATGTAGTTTGTTGTTGGCCTTCTTGGGGGAGATGTACCACTCCCAGAAGTAGAAGAGTTGGTGGTGTGGCTTTGCTTGTCCTGATAAATAATGTCTGCCAACAATAATAACAACAACCCGCCAAGCAAGAACATTGGGGGTTCCTCTCCCTTTGGGAATTCAATGTCTGCTCAGCTCCAGTCTCCGCCTCCCCAACCGCGGTTTCCGTCTGGTTTCCCTAACCAGTTTCAGTTGTCACAGTTATCTGCGGCCCATGTCCAAGCACTTGCTCAGGCTCAGTCTAAGGCTCATGCCCAAGCCCAAGCACAAGCCGCACAAGCGCAGTTTCAGGCCCAGTTACAGGCTCAGGGTCTTGCCCTTACCCAACCACATTTAGGCTCATCGTCCCCTTCCCTTTCAGGGTTGGGAAGTTCCAATGCCAAGAGGTTCCCTCAGAAGCCACCCGTCCGTCCACCTGGCTTGCCCACCACCATGTCTCCTCCTATTAGACCCATGGAGCTCTCTGCTTCTGCCCGCAAGAAAAAACAGAAGCTTCCTGAAAAACAGTTGCACGAAAAGGTTGCTGCCATCTTGCCCGAATCTGCTCTTTACACTCAGCTCCTCGAATTCGAGTCTCGCGTGGATGCTGCACTCTTAAGAAAGAAAATTGATATCCAGGACGCTTTACGGACCCCGCCATCTATCCAGAAAACCCTCAGGATCTATGTGTTCAACACTTTCGCTAACCAAACACGAATTGCTCCCAGGAAGCCCAATGCCGAGCCTCCTACGTGGACTCTGAAAATCGTAGGGAGAATTTTGGAGGAAGGAATGGACCCCGATCAAGCTGCAATGTTACAGAAATCAAACTTCATCTACCCTAAGTTTTCGACTTTCTTCAAAAGAGTGACAATTTCCCTGGACCAGAAACTGTATCCTGACAACCATATCATCGTATGGGACAGCGCTCGATCCCCTGTTTCTCACGAAGGGTTTGAGGTGAAAAGGAAGGGTGATCAAGAATTTACCGTGAATATTAGACTTGAGTTGAATTATTCTCCTGAGAAATTCAGACTTTCGCTTGCTCTGACTGAAGTATTGGGTGTGGAGGTCGATACCCGTGCAAGGATTATATCTGCTATCTGGCATTATGTTAAAGCCAGGAAGTTGCAGTGCCCGGATGACCCTTCTTATTTTAATTGTGACCCGTCACTTCAGAAAGTTTTTGGGGAAGGAAAGGTGAAATTCACAATGGTTGCGCAAAAGATCACATCTCATCTGTCCCCACCACAACCAATTCATCTAGAACACAGGGTTAAGCTGAGTGGAGACAACCCTGCCGGAAGTGCTTGCTATGATGTGCTGGTTGATGTGCCCTTTCCTATACAAAGGGAGCTGAATGCTCTGCTGGCGAATACAGTGAAGACTAATGAGATTAGCGCGTGTGATGAAGCGATTTGTAGTGCTATCAGAAAGATCCATGAGCACAGGAGGAGAAGGGCGTTCTTTCTTGGGTTTAGCCAGTCTCCTGTGGAATTCATCAATGCTTTGATTGATTCTCAAGGTAAGGATCTGAAGCTTGTTACCGCAGAACCTGGTCATGATGTGGAGAGAGACCGCCGGTCAGAGTTTTACAGCCAGCCCTGGTATGTGCTCTTTCATGTTATTATTATCTATCTATCTATCTATCCCTAGAAACATCTCAAATTAACTTGAATCCTTTGAAAATGATTGTTTAAGTTAGAACATGAGAGTGCATTTTATTATTGTTGTTGTTTTTGCGAGTAGGGTTGAAGATGCTGTGATTCGCTATCTGAATCGGAAACCAGCTACAGATGCAGTGGCACCACCCCCTGCGAGCTCGTGAATGATAACTTTGTGTAGATGATGCTGCTGCTCTCATTCCCCTCAAGGGTGAGATAGAATTGTTGGCACAGACGATGAAAGGAATGGCTCTACCCCCTTCCAACTTAAACCCCTCAGGCACATTTGGGTTGTAATAGAACACTCCAATTGTATTGATCTACTTTAACTTGGTATGTATTGTAAACACTTTTATGGGTGGATGTTTTTTACAACATCATCAAAAACCTTAATGATGGCAGGGCACGGGCCAGTTTTCAACTGTCAATTCAATGTTGTTGTACGTGTTAGTCAGTTAGTTTGGAACAGCCAGTTTGAATTTACAATATTGTTGAGCATTAGCAACAGCCAGTTTGAATTTACAATTTGGCAATTGGCATTCGAACGAGTGAATACTCATTTTGAAATAATTGAATACTCTTTTTTTTTTAAAAAAAATCTAGTAATGCTCGAAAATGAGCTTTCGGTTCCATAAAAAATAGTATTCTGTTACTCAAAAATGAGTATTTAATTATTCGACAATGAATGTTTATATGGATATACTGTGCATTTGGATGTATATTATAGGTAACTATAACACATAATGTTCATAGCATATAAGGTGATGTAGGCCGAATATTTTCTTTGGGAAACTAAAAAGGTCATTATTCTTCGCATGTGGCAAAATTTTAAATTCATAAAAAAAGTTATGAAATTTGACATGGATGTTACGATTTGCATGTGAAATACTTTGTAAAAGTTTCATATCAAACATACTTGTCAATAATGTCTAAATTATTATTGTTTTAAATTTAGGGGTTCTATCACATTTTTTGACCAATTTTAAAATTCATCAAAAAAAATTCCAAATTTGACATGGATAGTTATGTTTACATGTAAAATCTTTAAGAAAACCCTCTAAATAAGAGTAAAACATGTGTCATATCCTGAAAATAGGAGCTTAAACTTAAACTCCTCCAAATAGGAGTAATTAATCATATTTTGTGTCAATTATTTCTAACTGCATAAAGTTGCCCCATAGCCTCCCCTTTCTCTCTCTTTCTTCACACAATTACATTGCTCTTCTTGCACCTATCGCCGTCGCCGGCAACCTTCACCAGCGTTCCTCTAGCTTTTACAGTGCCGCCCAACCTCCTTCTCTCTCTTTCCCATTCCCTCGCATAGCCCTGCGTCCCCACACCCCATCTGCCACAGCCCACAAGGATCTTGAATGCCCCTACAGATAAATTTTATTATGCAAAGCTTGAACTCCATGGCTAAGTTTGTTTTGCTTTTACTTTAGCCAACTTTTTTCATTGACGTTATGATAGAGAGTGTTTCTTCTCATTATGTTTTCTTTTTTACATTATGTAGTTTCTTATTTGTTTTTATGTAGTGCAAAATTTTGCATTATTGGTTGTCATAATTTCCATTGCAGTTTTTTATATGATACAGTGTCATGTTTAACATTATGCAGCACGAAATTTTGCAGTATTAATTGTCTTAATTGGCATTGAAGCATTTATTGTCATAATTGACATTGAATCTTGGATTGAACGTAAATAGGAGCTAAATTATTAAAATGGAGTAAGACACCACCTACTCCCCATTCCCAAACTCTTTCTTGATCCTACGAATTGCTTCATTCGCTCCACCTTGGTCCATTTCCGTCGCCCATCCCATCCCACTATGTTAGAATCGTTGCAACCGCCGTTGTCACCTAATTGCAGCACCATCGCCACCGTCATTAACCCCACCCATCTCAAACTCGTCACAGATCTCTCTCTTCCGCCGCTCATCCCCTTCTTTTCGATTTTAACCGCCACCAAATCAGAACGCCATCACCGCCCACGCCGTCTCACCTCCATCTTGCTCCCTCAAAGCCTGATTTCAAAAGTAAGTGAGTTCTCTTTTGATCTTTAATTAAATTTTATTTTCTTTGAATTTTGTCATCGGTAGTCATGTAGGGCAATGTATTTGGTTTGACAGTATGCGTTTGTGTGACACTCTGATTAGGTTCACATTGTGGCATTACATATGAGCATTTGTAGCACTATATATGTGTATACGTGGCATTATATATTGTCATGTGTCATTATGTGGTGTTATATTTGGCATCATGACACTATATTAACAGTTAATGTGACACTCCGATGATGAAAGTAGAGATTCTGATGGTAGTGTCAAGTGGCTTAGAAAAATCAGTCCTTTTTGTGAAAAAAAGGAGCTGCGTCCAATTTTTTTAAAGCAAATGTAAAAAAATAAGACATTTTAAGGGAGCCCATATTATAAGTGGTGATATAAAAAGTTGGTTGGCAAGGTTGTGAAACCATTATGACGAACTGAAACCAATATTAATGAGTCATCATGCCTTTTCAAATGAAGATTTAAAAATTGAAATCAATCATAAAAAAGCAATCTGGAGAAAAAGAGAAATGAATGGGGGCCTCACTATGAAATAAAGCCCAGTGGAGTCGTAATCATGCTTACCTAATAAAAATCATCCGCAGTCTAATTAGGAGAAAGTGTGGAAATGATTTGATTAATTAAGTCATTTACTCCTATTTAGGGGAGTTTAAGTTTGAACTCTTACTTTTAGGATATGATATATGTTTTACTCCTATTTTGGTCCTTCTCCCAAAATCTTTTGTAAAAGTTTCATGTAAAAAAGATTTGTCTGTAATGTCTAAATTATAATTGTTTTAGTTTTGGCCTCGAGCTCTAAGGGTACCATCACATTTTTTGGCCAAATTCAAAATTCATCAAAAAATTTGCCAAATTTGACATGGATATTTATATTTGCATGTAAAATCCTTTCTAAAAGTTTCAAATTAAAAAGACTTGTCAGTATTGTCTAAATTATACGAGTAATTTTTTTAGTTTTGGACTCGAGCTCTAGGGGTATTATCACATTCTTTGGCCAAATTTTAAATTCATCAAAAAACTTGCCAAATTTTATATGGATATTTCTATTTGCTTTTAAATTCAGTTGTAAAACTTTCATGTTTAAAGACATGTTGTTATTGTCTAAATTATAATCTTTTTTAGTTTTGACCTCGAGCTCTAGGGATACCATCACATTTTTGGGCAAATTTTAAATTTATCAAAAAACTGGCCAAATTTGATATGAATATTTCTATTTGTTTTTAAATTCCTTTGTAAAAGTTTCATGTTAAAAAGACTTGTCGTTAACGCCTAAATTATAATTTTTTAAATTTTGACCTCGAGTTCTAGGGGTACCATCACATTTTTTAGCCAATTTTAAAATGCATCAAAAATATTTCTAAATTTGACATAGATTATTATATTTACATGTAAAATCCTTTCTAAAAGTTTCATATCAAAAAGACTTGTTAGTAATGTATAAATTATAATTTTTTTAGTTTTAGCCTCGAGCTCTAGGGGTACCATCACATTTTTTGGCCAAATTTTAAATTAATCAAAAAATTTACCCAATTTGACATATATATATATATGTGTGTGTGTGTGTGTGTATATATATATATATATATATATATATATATATATATATATATATATATATATATTGTAGTATTTTTTTTGGCGGATAAATGACACTTGAGATAATTCAGAGCAAATTTTAACAGAAAAAAATATTAAGTTTTACAGGATTACAGTATCAGAATCCTAACAAGTACACATATATAACGATGCAAATAAGTTGCGAAATACTCCACTTCTGCATGTCCATCTCTGAAAAGAACACTCTAAATTCAGATCGTCCGATGCTGCTGTCAGTTGCAAGCAGAAATTAATATTCTGATAAATGACTCCCAAGAACACTCTAAACCTTGGCAGTTCCTGCTTTTCATCAGAGGATTAAAATGTCAGCAGATTCATGATACAATCTACTATTCTCCATAGTCAATAGACAACATAGTAGGCCAATATAACAACAAAAGGACAATGACGACAGGCCAGCACATACAATTAAACCTATCCACGCACGATTGGCATCAGATCAGTAAATAATTTGCAGCAAAAATTTGGACACTATAAACAAATTGAAGCTTACGCAAAAACATAACTGAAGTTTGTATTTAAAATTCCCTCGAAAAAATGGTGCAAACTTTGTCTTTTTTTGGTCATTGGTGCAAACTTTGTTTCATAATAGTAGGCCCCAAATGAGTTTGGGAATAAGGCTTGGTTGTTGTTGTTGTTGTTGTTGTTGTTGTTGTTGTTGTTGTCGTTCTAGCTTATAGTGGCACCACACCGCATCAAGATACAGAGATGTGTGCCACAACAAATCACAGCTCATCAAAAACTATGTCAAAACCATTAAACATATATGTAACTTTCCTTTATCAAATCAAACTGCACACGCCACATATGGTTCTGTAGAAAACTTCTCCACTATTCTAATGTGATCAATCAGCATACAATAGCAAGAGCAATGTGATAAATGAATCATAATTAAGAACATGATTACCTAGACAGGGAAGTACTTGACACCAAAGCAACGGGTGGGAAGGGTATGGGTCTGTGGAGGAAGTGGCGTGACGAGTAGATCACCAGGACTGTCAGTGGCACGCTCGAACTTAAACTTGGCGATATAGACATAGGTGGTGCGGACTTTATCAAAATCGATGGAGTAAGTAGCTAAGCACAAGATCCCATTCCCTAAATAAAGCATAGCATCAAACTCACATCTCCAAACATGGTCCGGGACCTCCGAAGTAAGCACGACGTTAAGCCACTGCTTGGTGGCAACATGGTATGCGCCGAACATCTTGGGAATTTGGGGCAGATAGAAAAGAATCATCCCTTGAGCAAAGACGAGTACGGAAGGCCATGAGAAAGATTCGAGAACAAGTTCCCATCGATTGTTCGACGGGTAGTAGGCAAACACGGATTTGATGCTATGGAAGGGGATGAGGATCCGTTTATTCTCATCGTCGACAACCCCACACCGATCTTTTTAGATGTCGAAAAAACCCACCTGAGGTGGTGGAAGCAATTTCTCCCACTTGTTTGAGATGGGATCAAAAACCTCGGCTGCCTCAGACTTGCCACCGCATTGAAATAGATATATCTTACCACCAAATGCGACCACAGCAGGTATATAGGGAAGACGATAGCTCACGTAAGGGGCTTCCTTCCAACCCCTCTCACCATCATCATCACCTTGGCTCAAATCTAGAAAAGACATGCCCTTGTGATAGATGCCCTTTTTGTTGTTAGTTACAGAATTCGGTGGCTCAATGTTGCACCACCTGGTCTTATCACGTTCCCAGATGCCAACAACATAGATGACTGAGCCCAGAGCCACCATGGAATTCCAGCCCTTATCGGCAAATAAAACATAAGGGCAATCTGACACCTCACCTGTACGGAAATCGAGGAAGAAAAATTCACCAAACTCGAACCCTCCTTCAACACGTCTTGCTACCTGCAACAACAGCTTATCCTTCTCCACATCTGGTGA